TATTTTTTGTACACCCACATTTTTCACACACCTTAAAACTGTGCGTCTCATTCCAGTCACTTTACCAAATGGTAGTTCAGTGATAGTCAATCAAGTTGGAAGTACACCACTCACCGACACCCTAACTCTACATGATGTTCTCTTTGTCCCTCACTTTTCTTTTAACCTTGTCAGTGTCAGCATGTTGACCACCACCCACAACTGCACAATTGATTTTTCTCTTCATTTTTGTGTCATCCAGGATCGCACTCGGGACTTGTTGATTGGGAATGGTAGACGCATTGGCAACCTCTACTACTTAACTACCAGATGTTTTCCTTTTCCTGCTGTTCATTATGTTTCCACTCACTCTAAAAGTAACCTATGGCACTTTAGATTGGGTCATCCTTCCAATGTAAAACTTCAGTATATTAATGAATTCTTACAAATTTCGAATATTTCTCATTGTAAGATTTGTCATTTAGCTAAACAACATAAATTATCTTTCGTTTCTAACAATAGATTATCTGATAATCCATTTGATCTAATCCACATTGACATTTGGGGACCCTTCTCTCCACCCACTATCGAATGGTACAAATATTTTCTCACAATAGTTGATGATTGCACTAGGACTACTTGGGTGCTCCTTCGTCAAAAGTCCGACGTTCTTACTATTCTCCCTGAATTTTATACTCTTATACTTACACAATATAATATTTCTATTAAATCTGTGCGATCTGACAATGCGCACGAGTTGAATTTTCATTCTTTTTTCAAATCAAATGGTATTGTTTCTTACCATTCTTGTGTTGAGACTCCCCAACAAAATTCTGTCGTTGAACGTAAATATCAACACGTTTTAAATGTAGCACGTACTTTGCTGTTTCAATCCCATATTCACCTTGTGTACTGGGGCGATTGCATCTTGACCACTGTTTATTTAATTAACCGTACACCGTCCCCCTTGTTATGAAATAAAACTTCATTCGAACTATTAACTCAAAAAAAAACCTTCCTATGATCACTTGGGTACCTTTGGTTGTCTATGTTACTGCTCAACTCTTAATAGTTATCGCCACAAATTTTCACCTCGTTCTAGGGCTTGTGTCTTCCTTGGTTATCCTTCGGGTTACAAAGGATATAAACTTCTTGATATCGAGAGCAACCAAATTTTTATCTCACGTAACGTCATTTTTCATGAACATATCTTCCCATTTCTTTCCTCTCAATTACCTGATCCCATTCACAATGATTTCTTTCATGATCATGTCTTACCAGTTCCTCTCCATACATCTACACAGTCCTTGGATTGTCTTGATACACCTCCTTGCTCACAACGTGAGTCCTCCCAAACACGCTCATCTCGCCCATTACGTATAACACGACCACCCTCTTATTTGTCTGACTATCACTGCTACCATACAGATACCCGTGCACTCTATCCTATTTCTTCGTTCCTTACTCATACCAAACTTACCTCCCAATATCACAACTTTATTTGCGCCATTTCCTCCCACACTGAGCCTACCAACTTTCATGAAGCTAACCAGTCCGATGTTGAATGCATTCTATGAATGTGGAGCTACGTGCCTTAGAGGACAATAACACTTGGTCCATTGTTTCCCTCCCTCTTGGGAAGAAACCCATTGATTGCAAATGGGTTTACAAAATTAAATATCAAGCTGATGGGTCCATAGAAAGATACAAAGCCCGTCTGGTTGCTAAGGGCTACACACAACAATTTGGCATCGATTTTTTTGACACCTTTTCTCCTGTTGCCAAATTGGTTACTGTCAAGATTTTGCTTTCACTTGCTGCTATCCATGGTTGGCGCTTGACTCAATTGGACGTCACCAACGCCTTTCTACATGGTGACCTTCACGAAAAAGTTTATATGACTATTCCTCCCAGCTATTCTCCTCGAGAGGGGGAGACTTTTCCACATCAACCTGTTTGCCGCCTCCATAGGTCAATCTATGGGTTGAAACACGCTTCCCGACAGTGGTTTCATAAGTTTTCACGAACATTGCTTCAAGAAAGCTTCTATCAGTCATAATGTAACCATTCCCTATTTGTCAGACAACAAGGTAAAACCTTCCTAGCATTGTTGGTGTATGTCGATAACATTGTTATTGCCAGTAATGACGATCAGACTATCGAAGAACTCAAAGGTACACTCAGACAAAAATTCAAAATGAAAGATTTGGGAACTCTCTGATATTTTCTTGGACTTAAAATTGTAAGAAATGACACAGGAATCACCTTGTGCCAAAGAAAATATGCATTGAATCTCTTAACTAAGACTGGATATCTTGGTTGTAAATCCTCATCTATTCCTATGGATCCTAATATCAAGATGTCTAAAGATGATGGCGAGCTCCTGAGTGATATCACCAGCTATCGGCGACTAATTGGAAAACTGTTGTATTTAATCATCTCTCGCCCTGACATATGCTACTCTGTCAATAGATTGAGTCAGTTTCTGGCTGCTCCTAGAACCAGTCACCTTCAAGCCGCCTTACGGATTCTCCAGTACATCAAGAGGACCCCTGGACAAGGTCTTTTCTTTCCTTCATCATCTGCCATTCAGATTAAGGCATTTTCTGATGCTGATTGGGCCACATGTCCGGATACTAGAAGATCCATCACTGGTTTTTGTGTTTTCCTTGGGTCTTCATTAATCTCATGGAAATCAAAGAAACAACAAGTCGTTTCTCGGTCATCTGCTGAAGCCGAATATCGCTCCATGGCCAACACTACTTGCGAAATTGTTTGGATTCTGAAGCTGTTACGTGACTTAAAGGTTCAACACCAAGGCCCTGCATTACTTTACTGTGATAATCAAGCCGCTTTACATATTGCTTCAAATCCAATGTATCATGAAAGAATAAAACACATTGAATTTGATTGTCATTTTGTTCGTGAGAAGATTCAAGATGGTACCGTGAAGACGATGCACATATCCACTCGAAATCAACTAGCAGATATAATAACAAAGGTCCTTCATCCTGTGCAATTCGCCAATTTGCTGAGCAAGATGGGTACGATAAATCTGTATTTTCTATCTTGAGGGGGAGTATTAAGAATAATTAATATATTTAATTATAACTGTTTTTATTTCTGTTTTTTCTTTGGCCCATTGCCCACGTACAAATGCCAGTACGTTTCTTCCTGCTGCTTTTGTTTTCTTCTGTTACGGTATTCTGCATTCTGTTTCATTTGCTGTTTTTTGTTTTCTTCTGTTATGGTACCACTGCAATGGCTATATATTGTTTCCCTGTAAGCAGCAAACATTTAATGGAATAAGGAAAATATTTTCTTATCATTTTACTTTCTCTTAGGTTCATTTTGCTCTTCCTTCTTTTTGTCAAATTTCCTATCAGTTTTCGGAACAAAAAATTCACATACATCACCTTCAACTTTCTTAACCCGCTCCACCTTCAGATCCTCCGTCGATGCCACCGCACAACTCAAAATCACAACCTTCTCCACGACCTCCGGATAAATCTCAGCCATCCGACCGCGTACGCCGAGAACTTCTCCACTCCCAATCTCTTCAACCCTTCCACTACACATTTCGCTTGGAAATAATCGCTCCGCTCTGATTCACTCGTACATGACTTTCCGAAAAACGATAAATCAGGAAAATACAAATTGAATCTACGAGAGAGTGGGGCCACTTGATAAACGAATTGCCACCTCGAGTAAGCACCATAGGCGTGGATCATCACCAGATTTGGCTTCGCCGAAGCGGCGGAGATTGGTGATCCAGATCATCTAAATCGACGGTAAATGGTGAAAGGCCACATGGCCAGCAATACAAACATAGGATGATTAAGATTGGAAATGTATTTAGATTAAGAAAACCAGAAAGTAAGGTAGTTAAAAATGGTTATGGTGGTGGAGAGAGAGAGAAAGAGGACGAATGAGAAGCTTCATAGAGATAGATTCTTTTCTTTTTTGGTAGAAAAGGAGAAGTACAATGTAGGTGGGTGGTGAATCTAGATTTTGATATAATAGCTATGAACATATAAGAAATGTGTTGAATCAATTTTTTAAATGAATAGATTTGATTGTAATTTTGAATATAAAATTCAATTAGTGTTTAAATAAAAAATGAAATGATATTCGATTAAACATACCATTAAACAACATTAATAGAATTTGAAAAATAGTTTAAAAATGAATAGATTTATAAATCAAAATCCTAATGC